TTTTTTCCCACATAGTAGGCATTTAAATATTGATTGGTTTGCATAACATTTTAGCCTTTCCAAAAGTGGGACAAAATAGGTAACAGATATTGAAATTCTACTTTGTGTATCTATATTCTCTGTTTAGGAGAAAAATTAGTAGAGCAAAGAGGTAGAGCAATAGTTATTGAAAGGAAAGTTTCAGTTTGATAAAGAAACTGTAAATATCCACCTATTTAGTCTAAATGACTTCATGTTCCCAAACCAGGACAAATTTTATCCATCTATCCTGAAAGAATCTGAAAGCCAGATCAGTGAACAATTCCCAGTGGTCTTGGAGGAATCATAGAGAACTAGAAGTGCCAGAGAACTGAAGTTCTGAAGCCAGAGGGAGGTAAATTCTTGAAAATTCACAGCAAGTTGCTTAATATCACACAATCTGATAATAATTAACTTTATATATTTTAATAAATAAATAGATTTATTTTGCTCCAGTACAGGGACAGTGTGCACCCAGACTCCAGCTAGGTAGTTATCAATGTCTCTTTGGGACAAATTAGAGAAATATGGTCTAGTTGTTGGCACAGAATGGTTGTTAATTAATAGTTGAAAGATTATACAAAACAGGTGCTTGACAACTTAAATCAGTAGTTTCCAAACTTTTGACTATGACTTGCAGTAAGAACTAAATTTTACATCATTATCCAGTAACCATACACACATATACACATATACACTATGTACATGTGTATGTATACACATAATTAAATCAACTCTCATAAAACAGTACCTACCCTTACCAAAGGATGCATCTTGACATTTCCCATTCTGTGTTTCTAGTCTATCTCATTTTTTAAAACCCTGCTGTTTGTAATCTCCTAAAATCAATGCTATGACTGTCTTAAAGTGAGTTGATCTCAACCAGAATATTGCTAGCAGTTACTAAGCTGTTTTTATCCTGTTAAACCAAATATTTGAATAAATATGGAAGGTATGTATGTCCTCAAATTTACAGAAGAATAAGGCAATAAATTATTTGGAAGATGTACTCAGGATTAAGAAACTTCTAGCAGATGAAATTTAAACAGAAAATTAAGTAGAAAATTTGAATAAAATAAAATTCAAATTTAAATAGACATACATGATTTTGTAGTTTGTATCTTAAAATCCACATGTAAGGATACATATTGGAGATAGGCTGACACTGAAAAGCAGCATGACTAGAATCAAAACAAAACCCAACCCAACAAAACAAAAAAATCTTGCCTTTTCAACTTGATAATAATTTCAACATATGAGGGGAATGGAACTAAAATTATCTGAGAACCTATTACATGCCAAACATGAATCATTACTACATTACATGAATCATTACTACATTACATGAATCATTAGTGTCATGCTGTTGAAAAAAACCTAAACCAAACCAAACAAATCTAATTTGATTTGGGGTTGCATCAGTGGGAGTTGTATTTCTAAAGGTTAAGGCTGAGGGAAGAGTTTCCCTCTGTTTTACACTAGTCCCAACCTATGAAGAATTTGGAGTTTTCCATTCAGATAAAGTTTAGGGAAAAGTGAAAAACTTGATATTTAAAGAACAGGTAATGGGAATGGGAATAATTACTTTGAACTACTACTTTTACCCATTCATTTTTAGACACATTTATCAAATGCAAATTACGAACTGGGTATGTTAGATTCTGAAAACACAAAAATAATTATTACAGGGTCTGTTCCTACAGTCTGAAGGATGATTGTTTGGCAGTTGTTACATGTTAAGTACTTTTAGTGTATTAGCCACTTTAAGACTAGTAAATATTATTATTATACCTGGATTGGTGTTTTAGTCAGCTTTTTTGCTGTTGTGACTAAACAACTGTAAAGGAGGAAAAGTTTATTTGAGGGCTCATGGTTTCAGAGGTCTTAGTCCATAGAAGGCCGGCTCCATTCTTCTAGGCTTGAGGTGAGGCCGATCATCTGGGCCAAAGAGTGTGGCAGAGGGAAGTGGCTCAGATGGTGATCACAAAGCAGAGAGACAGCCTCCACTCTCCAGATACAAAATATATATGCCACAGACCACGCCCCAAAAGTACCACTTCCTCTGGCCACATTCTACCTGCTTCCAGTTACCATTCAGTTAATCCCATCAGAAATTAATTCCCTGATTAAATTAAGATTACTTTCTAATCATTTCTCCTCCAAAACTTCTTGCATTGTTTTACATGTGAACTTTTAGGAGACACTTCACATACAAACCATAATAATTGGATAAACAGAGGCTTTGAAGCTCAGTCATTTGTTCAAAGTTGCACATAGATGTGGGTGGTGGAAGTAGAATCCAAACCCAGGTTCTGTTGCATCTGGAGCATGCATTTGTAATCACTGTGAAACAAACACTGCCTCTTAAAACTCACATTCATGGGCTTCTTATCTTTGAAGAGCTGTCCTTTGGAAGTATGTGTGTGAAAAAATGTACACAAAATTTAAAATCACCACATAACATGTTTTTAATCTAGAGATTTAAAAATGAACATTTGAGGTCACTCATTATTATGGAACTATCTTTTATTTTAAAATACTGTGAATGTAAATGCTAAGTTATTTGAACATTTTCAGGGAAATTGGCTTTGTAGGCAAAAAGGAAACAGACCTGCTGTCCTTATTAACAACTTTATGCTTTTGGAGATAGTACTGAAAACATATTAACTGTGAAATCTTAAAGATGTTGTTATTATTGTGTTTATAGGTCACTAAACACACATTGTGTCTGTATACTAAGGATATGAAGACACATTTAACTTCATGCTAACTGCTGAGTTGAAATTCTTTTACTGAATTCTCACTTTCCTATGGGATAGGTATTATCATCTCTGTTTAAGGAAAGAGTATACTGAAGTTCAAATATCTTGAGTAGACTGCACAGGTAGTAAATTATGGGTGTGATTCAAAGCCCCATGCACTTTCCACAGTTCCATTCTGCCTGTGAGGAACTGACAGTGTATGAGAGTACACTTTAATTGGTAAGTTTCTTTAAAAGTCTCTGAAATTGAATTTAATATGCAAAAGCAGTGAGTTTTTCCTACTTTGAAGTAGTGATATCGTCTTTATCCCATTTTTTATCTCCACTAAAGAAAAATGAACAAACAGGATAAACAACCTAAGTGCACATTTTGCCTAAGAAACAAAGCAGGGAAAATAAAACAAAAATGTTAAAATAATGTTGAGCTATTTATTCAGAAAGGAAATAGAAATTTCAAGCTGTCACTGTCAAAGCATTCATACAAGAAGTCTAAAAATAGCAAGAGGTAGAACCTGCTTCTCTATTTATCTATTACCTAGATGCACAGTGGGGCATAAAAACATAGTGTGATAACCTTTCAGTCTGGATTTATATATATATATATATATATATATATATATATATATATATATACACATACAAAATTTGTAAATGAAATACAGTTTTCATAGAAGTAGATGATACTTATCTGGGACAGATCAAAATGCTGTAGCTAGAATTGTTACAAGATTTTTCAAATCAAACTATCAAGACTAATCTTGTAAATTTCTCATACAGTTTCAACCATGCTAACATTTTAAATTCCATTGTCATTTAATTTAATTAAACAAGCTGATTACCACTTCTTTTAGAAATTTTGCTCAGCAATTTTAATAATTTGATTACTTCAGTGCAAATTTAAACAGTCATATCACCAGTAACTATAATCCTAAGCACTGTTTTTGAGAAACTTTGTATAACCTGTGGCACTTCGGAATTTTTCCATGTGCCCAGATCCAATTAAATATGATTAATAACAACTGGATTATGATGGATTTGTATATTGACTTTTTTTTTCATTTGAGATGACAATTAAAACTGATTTGAATAGACCTCAAGATACCTAATATTTCTTGCGACTTGTAATATGTTTTTATTGAAAAGGACAGTCATGAAATATTAAAGAATATTGCATTCTTCATTTCTGAGAAGAAACTAGCAGTCATGCTTATTTCGTTTTAATTCAATACCAGAAGCAAGATAACTGTGCATGTTAAGTTTTTTTTTTAAATTAAAAGTAATACCCTCCCCCCTTTTTTTGCTTCTGTGACGGTGCAGATACCGAAATCTACTTTTGTTCCGGATCAAGAATGGCAGCAAGAATTACTCATATTTTTAGATAATTTAAAAACTCCTCTGAACCATATACGCCCATGAAAAAGGGAGGCATCATTAATTGGCATCATACCTGAGGATCGTTAGGGAGTTTTAAAGTGTGGGGTGTGTTGCTCCCACCAAAGACCGCACCGTATCACAGAATGCCGCCTTTTTAGGCCCAGATATGAGTTCAAGAGCTGTTTGTTGTTTAGAGCTCTTTCCAGAGAGGATCACTGTTTGACAAGTTCTATTTTAAGTCGCGCCTGTGTGTGCAGGTGTCAGGCTCTTTCATGGCAGTAGAAAAAGACCCAATACACTCCATCTGTATCCTTCCCGCGGCAATGCAGGCTTGTCCCTCCCGGTGTGTTTGCTTCTGCTTTGCCAGCCACTTTTCCTTTAGGAAATTCCAGGGAGGGTAGGCGGACAGGACTGTGAGGAAGGGCAAAGAGGGGCAGAAAGAGGTCGTCTGCCACTCCCCTACCTTATAAGGCACGTGGCACTGGCAGTAGCAGCGGCTGGATGCAACAACGAAGAAGAAGAACCTCCTCCTTGCAAGAAGACAGAGGGAAAGAGGAGGTGGCAGTGAAGGCAAGACACGCACACTTTGTCCTTCCCCACAGGGAGAATCCACCCTCAGGGGAACAAACACAAGGAAGCCACCCGCCCCGCCTCTGCCGGCTGGCCCCAGGGTCTGGCAGCCGTCCCCATGCACCTGCTCACCTGTCTATCGGTTCTGGGAGGTTGGGGGAGGGATGAGGGGTGTCGGGGTGGGTGGGTGGGAAGCGAAGGAGGGCAGGGCAAAAGAGGGGGTGCAGCGAGGGCTCCGCCCCCGGAGGCTCTGCGCAGGCGCAGTGGCCGCTACCGCAGGCAGGGGGCGGCAACATGGCGGAGTGAGCGGCGGCGTCGGGGCTTCACAACAACAGTGGCGCTCGTAGCAGCGGCAGCAGCAGCGTCAATAACATCGGCCACAGCCTGAGCTTCAGCACCGGCCAGCGCCGAGACCAGCTGCTGGCGCCCCAGGGCTGTTTGGAGCGGCGGCAGCATCTCCGCGGGGGGCGGGCCGGGCCGGACTGACCGGGAGGGGGAGAGAGAGCAGGCAGCGGCGGCGGCAGCGGCACAGCTGCTGGGCGGGCACTGCCGCTCACCGGGCAGCGGTTTTAGCGGCGCCGCCACCACCGGGAATCAGGCTGAGAATCCCTCACCGCCTCCGCCGGGGAGGGCGCCGGAGCGGGCCGGGCTGAAGCACGGGCGGGGAGCGGGCCCGGCGCCGCGGCGCTGGTGGATGCTGGGGCTCCGAGGCGACGGCCGGGGGGCGGGGGCCGAGGCAGGTATAACGGTACCGGCGGAGGCAGCGCCGCTTCTCTGCTCTTCTCCCAAGGAGGGGGCCCAATGGCGAGCGAGAAGCCGGGCCCGGGCCCGGGGCTCGAGCCTCAGCCCGTGGGGCTCATCGCCGTCGGGGCCGGAGGCGGAGGCGGCGGGGGCAGCGGCGGTGGCGGCATCGCGGGCAGCGGGATGGGGGAGCTGAGAGGGGCGTCCGGCTCCGGCTCGGTGGTGCTCCCCGCGGGGATGATTAACCCCTCGGTGCCGATCCGCAACATCCGGATGAAATTCGCAGTGTTGATTGGACTCATACAGGTCGGAGAGGTCAGCAACAGGGACATCGTGGAGACGGTGCTCAACCTGGTAAGGGAAAAGGCGTGCTCTCGCTCTGCTCCCCAGCCCCCCATATCCTCGCTCCCCAGCGTCTCTGGCCCCCACCCCCCACCCCAGGTCATACACGCAGCGCGTCCCTGGGAGCAAAGCTCGTTCAGCCGGTATTGCCCAGCGGGTGACCTGCCTGCGTGCTGCCAAAGCCACGCCACCTCCCTTCTCTCTTTTGGTCCTCTCCTGCCACCTGAGCGCAGTGCCCAACTTAACACCGCTTCTTATCACTTCTCGTGACTATGAGTAAAAACCATCTCTTGCTGGGAAGGTTTTGGGTCGACTTCAGAGTTTAGTTAGGGTGTGAGGAGACCTCTGGTTCTCTGGGGTTCTTTCTCCCTCACTCTTTAATTGCCCATGGTGTCGCTCTCTGAGGATGACAGCCTTGCCCCTGGAGCCTAAATTCCCCGGTGCTACTGAAATGTGAGAAGCGCATTATCTCCAACTTGAGCAGCTGGGGTGTGATGTTTTCGAGGGAGGAGAAAAATGATGCAGTTTTGCATCTGTCTTTAAATATATTCCAAGGCAATGATGTAGTGTGTTGTAGCAGCATCTACCCCACCCCCATCTCTTAGGCAGTCTTCCCTTTTTTTGTAACATTGCCCTCAATATGCTGATCTCTTAGTATTTTGTGTGTGTGCACATAAGCTTTAAAATGTGAGGGCACCAAATCATACAGGTTGGTTTCTATGGTTGCCTTTAGGAGCGTGGCATGTGGATAAAGACTAAAGGAAAGATGTTAACGCAGGTTTTGGTTTCTCTCATGATAAGAAAGAGTTACTGCAGAACTGTGTATGACTTAATGTTTTGCGCTATGTACAGAAGAGGCTAAGAAGCCTTCAAGATGACAGAGAAGAAAGAGGAAGATATAAAGAGAGAAGAATCATTAATAGAGCATAATTAAGAGTTCATTTTCAGTGCTTTGTAAATGCAGTTTTTTTGCTGCAGCAAAGCTTTTAAAATAGTTTACCCTGCAATATCTCGTCTTTGACATACTGTAAGGTTGGGTTTTGGCAGGCAAGGTGTAAATCAGAAGCAATCATTTGAATATTGTATTTGGTGTGGAGTCACAGGAACACAAAAATATGCTTGCCAGGGGATTCTATAACAGCTTTGCACTATGATTTTTCCGCCAAGCAGTTATTTTTATTTGATGTACTGGAAAACTGAAAGAAAGATGCAGCTATGGCAGTGGTGCCCTGAGACATGGATTAGATAACGTCTGTGTTTTATGAACCTATTAAATTCACAGAAAAGTTGAAGCTGTTTTTTTTTTCTTTTTGCTAGTGTATGAAGTCAAAGATAGGCAATTATCTGTCTTTGTTATATTTATTGCTGTTTAAATAGAAAACATCTTTCTACTTTTGTATACCCTTCAGATAAATCACCTTAAAAAGTCGGTGTAAGTTTGGGAGAATGTCCTCCCATTGATATAACCAGTTCTTTTCAAAATAACTAATTGGTTTTCTTGGGATTTTCAGTTTAAATAAGTGCAAATAGGGGGTCAGTACTTTTTTTTTCTTTTTAAAAGAGATTAAGTTTCAAAAATATGGTAGTATGTTAGCTGGTTATCTGTTTATTTAAAGAAACATTTTAAGTTTTTTTCCCCCCACAGTTTTTGTCTAACCAATATTTCTACTTTAGATGATGTGATAATAGTATTTGTATTCTTACTTAGTACATTTTAATCTGATAAGAGGCAGTAGAGCTTTCATAAACTGGACACTGATTTGAATGTGTAACCAGTTGGGACTCTGCAGCAGTAGCCACGCATGCTAGATCTGATAGATCAGTATTTAACAGATGGGGTTCTTTAGATACATAGTAGACTATGAAAAGAAGTGAAATATTTCTCTTGAGGTAAAAAGAAATTTAACTCTTCAGTGCAATAACAATCTATGAATTATGTAAACATTATTTTAGAGATTAAGTTATCATTAAACCTAGAGTCCTTAGAAATATGGTAATACTGAAATGATATATTCCCCAATCCACTTAAGACCTGTAACTCATCGATTTTTGGAATAACAAAAGTTAGGTTTAAATTTTCTTTGTTTATATTTAAAGAATGCAATAACTTTTAAATGGAAACTTTTGGGACAAAGATTAAATAACAAAAGGAGTTGCTTATTATTGTTAATTATATTGATTATAGAATATGAATTAGTCATGTGAAGTATAATATTTCTTGAATGGTAGGTTTAGAAATTTATTGTTCCAAAACATTGTTGTAAATGTTATGTGAAAATTTAAGCTGACTAAAAAAAACTTGGAAATAATGGACATTTAAAAAATAATTATCAAAACTTAACTATTTCATAAGTAATACAGTTGATAAAATTTATTTAGGGTACTAAGTGGCTTGTTAATGATTGGAAGTCCCTATTTATGAAGTAAGTTTCAAAAATTTTTATTCTTAATTTAAATGTTAAAGAAAATTACACTGCTCTTTGTGACAGTAAAGAAATAAAGGAAGCTAAACTTCAAAACATTTTTTTTTTTACTTTAAACAATATTCTTGTCATAGTCACCTTTGTCAAAATATGTTTTTTTTTTCCCTATCCATTCTTCTTATATAGTATGAGAMGTATGAGAGTACAACTGTTCATTTTTTGGGTAATATTTTACACTTGCCTTGCCCCCAAGGTTAAAAGTTTTGTAGAGTAAAGTTTAACTATGTAGTAAAATATAGGACTTCAACACAGTGGTGGTTGGAATTTTTCTGTTTTTGTTTGCCAAAGGTAGATATCCATTTGTACTACTCAAGTGGATTATGGGAGTTTGGTGACGAATCACAAATGTAATGAGAAATAAAATGAATGATTTCATTGTAGATACATACATTTTGTATAATGGTAGGATAGTGGACTTAAAACATTAATCTAAGTGATGGAGAGTATTAGGAATATGAGCAAATTAGTTTGTAAGTAATGTTACAATAAGAGTACATTGTCAAGGATTTTGTATTGTAGTTTTACCAGTGAAAGAACTAATTATTGACACACTTTGACTTCAGGAGGAATTATTACATGTGGTTTTATAAGAGAGTTAGATTGTATTAAAGAGATTTTTCTTGTTGGTTATTGTAAAGCAGGCACACTACTTAAATCTATTGCTTCCTTTGTAAACATACTTGACATATGTTTATATACAGTTTCTCCTTGAAGTAATGCTATGTAAATAGCATGTGTTATCTTTGTTTATAATGTGGAAGTTTGTTTTTATCACAGATTCTAATATGAATGTGATTTTWAAGAAAAGATTAAATAGAGGACTAATATTTACTTAATGAAAGAATTCACAGTAGGGTATTTTGAATAGTCATCTTATGCAATATAGTTTTATAATTATAGAATTTCATTTAATTCTATAATTATGGAATTTAACCATAGACTTGTAGTTTTTTCATGAATTGCTGAATTATTGAGGTTTTCATGAATTTTTAGATTTTTTCATGAATTACTGTGAGGTATATCATTGTGTATTTATTTGTAGAAAATGGTATTTCCTTTAATATTATTTTTGGCATTTTAAGTGTCATGCTGTTTACTATATTGAAAGCATAACAAGATGTTTTGATTTTGTGGCCTATTAAGTTCMTTTACTCTTGGCATCTGGATCATGGTATTTTATCAAAAGGGAAATTTTAAGTTATGTTTTGTACTTGATGTGACAGTAACTCTTCTTCCTTAGAGTGGTTTCATTTGTACCTTGATACTCAGAATCATTTTTATTTTGATGATATTTAGAATTTCACGAAAAGTTATGTTTTGCATTTGAATTTATTTAAAAAATATATAGTTGAATTTTAGGTAAACTCAGGCCATCCTTGATACTTGAAACCACATTTATTTATATTAAAAGAATTTTCTGCATTTTAATTTGCTTTTCATATTAGCTTTTACATTTATTCTTGCTATTGAGTATGGAAAATTAAATACATAAGTATTGGAAGTTTAAATATAAAAAGTTTGGAGATTTTTCACAGAAATATTAACTTAATCATATGATGACACTGAAGCAGAAAATACTCTAAAGCCTGTTTGTGATTAAATTATATTAATGTTAAGTAAATATTGTCAGATTTTGGTATAGACTATGCTAATAATTAAAAGTAGTTCAAGGTTCTCTCTTCTTTTGCTATATTTTCCCAAGTGGTATAAAAAAATTCACAGCGTCTAGCAGACCCAGCCCCGTTTTGTATACTAGTATACATGTATTATATTCAATCATCTGCATTTTTACTGTTAAAATATTTTTATGCATCAGTCCCAAATGTTTTTCATTTTATGCCTGCAATTCTGATACTTCATGCACTATCAGTCTTCTCTTTTGTATTACACATCACTCTCTATTATTACAGTTATTTTTGTTCCTTTCTCATTCTAGCCTGTGAATTCCATGAGGGCAGAAGCTGATCTTTTATATTTTTTTTGTATTTCTGACCCTTGAGTAAGTAAGTTCAATCCATTTTGAGTATGCAGGGCAATAGTAATTAGGACCAATTTTTGAAAATTGTGTTCAAGAGTAGGGTCTGTGTTCTGGATTCTAAAATAAATTAGACTCATGTAAATTTAATGTATTATTTACCCCCAAACTAAGTATGTGTTGAATATGTATGTGTTATCTGATATACATATCTATTTAGGTATTACTTCATATGTAAATGTTATTTTTAATTGACATCTGTGAATAAGTAAAATTTTGATAAAAACTTTTTATTAAACTCATACGTATGATCAAATAGATGCATGTAACAAAGAGAATGTTATTAAAATATTTATAATATATTGACTAGAAATTAAAACAAACAAAAACATCATTGTCAGCTTGTCATATTACCAGAGCATTAACATCTCTTGTTTTTGTCAGTCTAGCCTACATTCTCCTTTTTTGTAATGGTACCTCATCTCCTGTTCTTAATTCAGCTGTGTGAGGTGGGTTGACTCTACTTTCAGTGGTGACCAAAATCAGTGATTGGT